ACTTAAAGCACTCTGCTGGATTGCTCTGGGGCTCACATAATTTTGGCACAGAATAGTGTATTGGCGTTTATTTTTAGATTGCCTACTGTGGGCTATGTTTCGGCACTATTCGGCAGGAGCACATTTGAGATGTGCCGACTTATTAATATTAATGTACCGCAAACTCGCTACGAGTGTCGTCATCGCTTGGGTTATCCCAAAGAGCGATTTATAGGTCAGGTTACCACTTTTGAATCCCTATTACGTTTAGTTAAAGCGCGTAGGCTTCGGCATGGTGGAGTGGATATTTTACGGCGCTCTAGACACAGAAATGACAGTTACAATTGTGGATTCTTTACGTAAAATAACAATACAACATTTTGGGCGGCACTGCACGACCGTGCTCTATATGGACGAACCACGCCTGATTTTCACCAAGATATTGGAACTATGGAAAGCAATATCAGGGTAAGTGAAGTAATATGTTACTGATTTTTTTGGCTAGTCACTAGAAAGGTGCAGTTCCAGAATTTAATCAAAGTGGCGAGCCAAGGAACAACGAGGAAAGTAAGTAAAATATTGCCCTTAATTTTTTTGTGTGGGTAAAATACCCCCCCCCCCCCCTGAATTTCATCGAAATTAGACACAAGCGTTAAACTTCACTATCATTTTCGTGTTCAGCGTCCATAATTGTGTTTTTGTTGTTATCGGTCCAGCAACATCAGGGCTCTCGCCTTTCTGTCCAATGCCCTGTAGTAATAAGTGCAGGTTTGCTGCAGTTGCTGTAATGTATCGTAGAGTGTGTGTGGAAGTGTAACTCTGGTGTCATTTAGTGCTGTACTGTGGAAAAGGTGATGATCCACAGTCTCATATTATGCATAACCACACAACGGACACATTGAGGTAAGTTCTGGTTTTATTCTGTTCAAGTGAAAGTTGAGCTGTATATCATCTTTTCGGAGGCGGAAGATCGTGGTCTCTTTTTTTCTCTGTAGGTGGTTGATACAGTCATTTTGTTTTGTTGTGGTCATATGTTTGAAAACTGCTCTGACTATCTTTCCCAAGGTCCATCTGGTCATCCAATCTTGTTTGTTGTTGCCTTTTATGATTTGTTTTGCCGTGTTGTATGAGGTTGGAGTGCTGGGTTGTTCCTGTCTAGATTCACTTTTGGCGAGTGTGTCTGCTCAGTCATTTCCAGGTATGTATGAGTGTTCGCGGATCCACTGTACCACCAGGTTGACGCCACAGGGTGCTATCAGGAGATGGAAGCCATACAGAAGGTGTCAAGTTTTGGTTTAGATGATGGAAATTTTCTACCCTTGCAAGTCAGAAAAAATCACAATACTCAGCATTTTGTTTGGATGAATGTCAAAAACTGAGCAGAGATAGCATAGTGCTGTTTCAATTGCCATAATTTCACTTCCAGATTAATGGCGGCTAGGCCAGTTGCTTTTTGTCAGCTCCTGTGTTATTGGGGATTTAAAAAAACAAACGGATTTCACTGTTGAAAAGTTGTTGAAAGTGGTTGTAGGTGGTATGAATACGCAAGTAAGTCGATGATTTTGTTGTAGTTTGTGTACTGTCTCTTTTATTTTCTTCATATTTTACCGTGTTCAGATCTTTTCTTCTCAGTGCTTCGAGCAAGTATCTCTGTTCTCTCTTCTATCCCTTCTCGCCCCGCTGTAGTGCTGTATCTTTTCACTCCCTATCTCGCTCTCACTCTTACTTGTTCTTTTCTGTGTCCTTTAGTGATTCCCTGGATTAATCTTTCTTTTTTTTCGAATAAATCATTACTGATCAGTGAACATCATGGCTAAAAATAACAACGAATCTGTTCCAGCCTGTTTCTTATTTGCAGACCACATTGACAGCTCTGTCACCGGTTACCAAGTATGTATAGCCTGTGAGCAAGTCTCGGGTGAGGGCAGTGTTATCCGAGCCCAAAAGCTATATGGAATGTGGAGGATTGACACTGCTATGGTTCAGACAAGGAACCAGCTCATTATAAAGGGTATAATTATACACACAATCTTTGTCGCTATCCTCAACGCCAGCCCGGCGGTAACAAAAGGAACCAAAGACTCCCCCTCGGTGAAAGTAATCATTGGCAACATCCCGTTTATCAGTGTCAAATGAGGAAATAGAAGAGGAATTTTAAAAACTACAGGGAGTTGCCATACGGTCAACATTTTATGAAGAGTGCTGCAGGGACAATGAAGGGAAGCTAACCTTACTTAAGTCTGGTAAACGTTTTGTCTACATCGATGTCCCCCCTCACCCTCTACCCCAAGATTTTCAGGTTGGACATTGGGGGCCCACATTGTACGACTATGGCCAGAAGGAAAAAAAAGAGATGCCGATGGAAGTAACACAGCCGGTGGAAGTCAGCCCGCCCCCGACAACCATGCTCAAACGTCGACCCGAGCGGCCAACACAGACCTGGTATCCTTGCGGATCCTATTCAGGTACGAATTCAGTGGGATGTGTTGTGTTCGCAGATAGTGACTTGTTCTTTTCTACTGAGGGAATTTGGTTGGTCTTTTGAGTTGGGAGCAGTCATGTGTGCAAATATAGCTCTTCCAGTTTTGCCCAATGCCCTTCCATCCAACCACTGTTCCCTGGTATTGTATTGATGTTCTTGACTGTTTGTTGTCAAACTGGGTTTTGAGGTTGTGTTTGGGATGATCCATTCTTGGCAAGGCTGTCGTGTCCAGGGATGTTATAGCAACATTACTTGAGTATAATGACCATTTTTAAAAAAGTAGTCCATATTCCACAACATTTCCATATACGATCACAGAACAACTCGTGTGCCAAATTTCAAGTTTGTAGCTCATATCTCTAGTTTCAGAAAATCACCAATACTCGTATGAGCATTAGAGTTAAAAAGTAGTTTTTGAGAAAAGAAAGCGATTAGAAATCGAGAAAATTCAAAATGTCAAAATTAAAAAAATATCGGATTTATTATTTTAAAAACACTCAATAAATATACGATTTTCAAAACGTTGGCCCATTTCTCTGATCTATAGGTTATTGGGCCATTTCATCCTGAAGTAATCATTAAAAAACAGGAGCACATGACAACCATCATTATTTTTTAGGTCATGATTAATTACGTACAAATCAGTACAATTGTTGAGTAACACTCTGAGATCACTCCAACACACACACACACACGCACACACGCACACACGCACACACGCACACACACACACACACACACACACACTCTCACACACACACAGCTGCTGAGAGAGA